TTTTTTTTTGCATAATTTGCAGATGCTCCATGGTGCGGACACTGCAAGCACGTCATGCCAATTTGGGATAAACTTGGCGAGAAATACAAGGATCATTCCACAATTCTGGTTGCAAAAATGGATGCAACAGCAAATGAAGTAGAGGATGTTAAGGTGCAATCATTCCCAACAATCAAATTCTTCCCGGCTGACTCCAATAAGGTACCTTTTTCACTTTTCTTGATCTCATATTAGTTTGAAAAAAATCGTTTTTTTTTTTCATAGCATTAGCAATACAGTTCATGCTGTCAACGTTTGGAGTGCTTGCTTTTGCGGAAATTCTGGTGCATGCCTAGTAGTAAATGTCACTTTCCCTGACTACTTTGGGCTTCTCGCCATCGAACAGCTCCCACAATCTGCCCCTACTGTATTCGGTTTTTGCCACCACACTCACGTTATTCCGTACAGGTGCTGGATGTTTCCATAATATTCCTGTTGTTCGGGACTGTGATTGCTACGAAAAATCTGGTGATTCCAAAAAATTTTGATTGTTATTTGAATTCAGAAGTAACTCGGCTCCATTCTGTTATAGTGATTACAACTATTATTGAAGGTTATTGATTTTACCGGCGAGAGGACGCTGGAAGGATTTACGAAATTCCTGGAAAGTGGAGGAAAAGAAGGTGCTGGCTTATCAGATATGGAGAAAGCCGAGGCGGAAGCAGAAAGCGAGGAAGAAGAGCCACCTCATACAGAATTATAATTTAATCTTAGGAATATTTTTTTGGTTTGAGAGGGAGTATTAGGTGTGAAAAAAAGTTTAGTTAAACGGAGTACGCAGGTTATTTGCTACTGCAAATAACAGTGAAGTTACATGCGTGGTCGAGTCGTTTCAGTGAGTGTTTTTGGTCAGCCAAGCTGGCAGTCAGAGTTTCTCGCTGAAAATATTCGGCAACGGTGAAATCGTTTTTCTTGCCTTTTTTTCTTTGAGCTGTTGTTATATTCCTTTTTTAATATTAATATTTCTTTTTTTTTT